TGTTACCACCACATCCTCCAAAGTCTCCTGCTGTAGCATTCTGCTCCAGCTGCATTTGAAGCCAGGCTGTCCCCAGAATTCACCAGCAAACTGAGGAAGACATGGAAGTAGCTTTCATTCCCTGGGTTGAAAATCATCCCACAATGCTCTGCTGCGCTGCCTGACTGCAGTGAATATCACATCATGAACTCGGCTGCTGCTTCCGGCTCGGCCATCTTTCTCCACGTGGGTCTTCTTGGTTTGGGTGTTAGGTTTATGGGACAGTGACTGGTGCTAGTGATCCTGTATCGAAGGCCTTAGCCCTGCTCACACCTTCAGCGGCTTGAGCCTTAGTGATGGGAAGCAGGATTAATTAACTCTGCTCTAGTCAATTATGACTTTACCACCTATAGCACTTTCAGAATGAAGCTGCATTTTAATCATTACAACTCTGCCAGTTACAATCACCAAGTACTTCCTGTGGGAATCCAATTGAAGATCCACTTTGATGAGGCACCTATCAATGCAGAGATTGATTTCCTTGTTAATATGTGTGTACACTGCATTTTGTTTGGCTTTGTCTATTTCCAGTGCCTTTAATCACGGTGGGTGGTTATCGTCTCTTCCCTCACTTCTTCTTCCCCTCTCATTCAGTAACTTCCCAGCAATGCGGAACTCCCGCCTCTTGAATGCCAGACTGGTCTGACAAGTCAGGGCCCTGTCGGGAAAGAGGTCAGGTTGGGCCTCGGAGCGCAGGGTACTAGTCATTACCCAAGCCAATTCTTCTCAGTCTGAGGGGCTGACCTGCTGCCCTAACTGTGGCATGCTAAGCAACCAGGGAGAGGTTGTTCTGACCTCCTTTTGGCTTTACAGAAGTCACATACTCTGCTTGAAAGTAAGCAGCTTCAGTAACTTACAGCAAAACAGCCATTAACATTCTTTCCTGTAACAAGTGTGACATTGTCCCTTGCCTCTGATGCCATGTCTTACTTGACAAGGATCACCACCCAGCGGCCAAGAACACATGGCCCTACCCTATCCTCTCTACATGCTCTCCCCATGCCTGTGTGCCTTATTTATACCTTTTGCAAAACCAAGGAGCCCTTGCAAACTGTCTGCCTTTCCCAGCAGCACGACCCTCTCTCTGGCAATCTGCCTGCTACTTCTTGTAGTGCATCCGGGAAAGCGCTTCCCTTGCTTGGGTCTTGATAAATTCTTTACCACCCGCGTCATCGACCCTCCATATGCTGTCTCCCGTGACCCTTTTGTTTTGGATCTTAACACTTACTACCACCCTTTGTGGCTTTAAAAAAATCATAAAGCCACCAGGTCAACTGAGCCACCTCTTTGAGAGAGGAAATAAGCTCAGCGGCTACTTCGTGGATTTAAAAACGACCAGCCGCCCCGTGTGGCTGGACAGAATCACCAAGCGATGCTGAGAAGCAAAGGGCACTGGTACCCGTTTGGGCCACTGGACTGAGCTTCCTGGGAGGGCTGCCCAGCTGGAGCTGGGATTCCAGGTTACAGCCAGTGTTTGCCGTGCCAGTCTCTGCTCGGGGTGTGCCCTGGCCAAGGAGTGGGGTCGGGTCCCCAGGTGAAATAGGCTCCGCTCTCACATCACGTGGACTTCACATCTCAAAGGACAGACGGGAGATACAGCAGCATTACCCCACTGGGAGGACCAGCCCCTGGGCCCGCAGCTTTGTCTGTCCTGCACCAGGGGGGATTCACAGGGCTGCTGCAGCTGACAGGCAAGATGCAGGTGGACCCCTGGTTATGGGTGGTTACCCGGCAATGTTTGTGTCACGGCTGCTGAGGGCCAAGGTCTGTCTCTACTCAGGTGCCCGGGTCTACATCAGCTCCACATGCCGGAGCAGACACATCCCACTGTTAGCCAGCTCGATCTGAGGAACACACTCTGAGGCCAGTGTCTCTGCCAAGTGGTAGCCGCCAGGGGTCTGGCTGGACGCTGGGGTCAGTGGAGCGGAGAATGACTTGCCTGTTTCTCCGAGGGCCTCCTGGGTCCTCCAAAGTGACTTCTGTGTACAACACAGAGCCTGATGTTGAAGCCGACCTGTTCAACTTGACTTTTCAAATTTGTTCTTTCTCAGCAATTCCTTCAGGACAGGGTAACAAATAAGATCCATTTTATTTATAGAGATGGGGAGAGATTGCTCACAGTGATTTCTCCAGCTGGCGATAATGCTAGACCAGCAAACCTTAGGAATCACACAGGCTAAGGGTGCGCACATAGAAAATGCTCCCACAACTGAAAATCTCTACATTAGGACAGTCTCTGCAAGCTACTGGAAACATCCCCAGGGCCAGACACAGCTCAGAGCACCTCACAGGGATCATCCAGGATAATCTTCACAAACATGCCGTGAAAAAAGGAGTCTTACTGTTTCACAGGCCAGGAAACTGGGTTCAGAGAGGCGAGGTCACTTGTCTGAGGTTGTCTGTCTGGTCCTTGACACAGCAAGGATTTGAACTTGGGTCTGCCCATTTTGGGCTGGCAGTCTTAACTAAGGATGACACATTGGCCCCTGGGTATCAGCCAGCATACATTCAACTGCAGCAGCAGGCCCCTCTCAGGCCCCGAGTCCAATCTGCATGGCCATCAGTGACTCACACGCAGAAGTGTGAGAAGTGCTGGGTGTGACGGCGTCAGTATTTGTTGGTTTAAACAAATCTTTTCTATGCAGGTTACAGCTGAACAGCCATGTCTCCTCCTTGGGCCATATATTTCTCTGAAAATGTCAGAATGTGTCACAAAGAAAATTGAGTCCAATGGCTGGGTTAATTATCCAGCGGAACATCTCGATGGTTTGATGCTTCTGAAATATCACCGCCAAACAAGCGCTTGCAAAGGCTCAAGCGAGGCCGTAAAACACGGTGATAAGGGCGCACTTCAGCTCCGGAGTGAACGTCTGATGATACTTTGAATTATGGTGGATCAAGATTAATTCCAGGCTCCACTTAGAGGAAGCTTTCAGGCCGAGTGGTTTAGACATAAAAGCAGTTTGCCCTAATGCACCAGGTGAAAGCAGTGACAACTCTATTGCCTGGTGCCAATTACATTTATGCGCTTGTCCCCAGGAGTGCTGCGAAAATGTCACTGTTAGTGCTGAGGCGTGGCCAGCTGGGGGCTCTGTCTAGCGGGGTTGTTTGAAGACTCATGACTAATACATCCCCATGTGATCCAGAACCCTGCTTCATCACAGCATGTCCGCCAGCCAAGGAATTCTGCCACAATTTTAGAAAACAGGAATAGGGCCAAGGCTCTGCTGTAGATCCCAGTGCTACTAGGACCGCTGGGGCCTGGTCAAGCCCGAGTTCTGACTCAAGTAGGCCGAGTGGGGCCCAATGCTGCATTTCTAAGGAGTACCCCGGGAGACCATGGGTACTGCTGCTGGCCATGGGACCACACTGGAGAAATGTGGGAAGACCCTGGCCTGGAGGTCAGAGGGGTCTGGACTCCAAGCCCAGCTCTGTGCTTGGTAGCTGTGTGGTGTTGGGTGAGTCAGTTCACCTCTCTGACCTTCCTACTCCTCGTATGTAAGATGAGGATCACCCTGCCGTTGGGATCCTTATAGGATTTAGTGATAATGAATGCATATGGGTTTCCTTCCCACTCCCCCCCACCCCGGGGGCGGGCAGGTGAGACATACTCTGTATTCCCAGCGTCACCCATTTTTCTTTCCTCCAGTAGCTGGTTCTGTCCCAAGCCAAGGCTTCCCTGCCTCGGAACTCTTGACACTTTGGCTTGGCTCATTTTCTACTGTGGGGGCGTCCTGTGCACTACGGGATGTTTAACAGCATCCTGGCCTCATCCACTGCATGCCAGGGGCACTCTTGTCTCCCCTACTACAACCAAAAATGCCTCCAGACACTGTCCGATGCGCCTGGAGACCAAATCACCCATAACTAGGAAACACTGTTCTAGTCGATAATTTGTATTAATAATTCATTCAACAAAATGTGTCCAGTACCCACTTTGTGCCAGATGATACGCCAGTTATACAGTGATGTTTCAGACAAACAAGGTCCCTGTCCCAGGGAGATTTTTTTTTGGAGTCTTAATCTTCCCAACTGTAAAATGGGTATAGCTACTCTGCTGACCTCCTTGTTGGAAAGAGAAAACAAGCTTAGTCTTGCAAATGGCTGGGCCCAGGCACAGAGATAAGATAATGATGAGTGAGAGGGACCTGGGCATCTGGGGAGAAGTGGGTGTGGGCAGGGACACAGGGACTGGAGAGCACAGGAGACCTGGGCTACAAGGACAGGCACAAAGGGACTGAGCGGGGCCCTGGTGCACAGTGTGCAGCAGAAGCAGGGCAGGCAGGGCCAGTGGTGGTGGCGGCGGGAAGGAGGAGTTGCAACTGGAGGGAAGAGAAGAGCCGGAGAGGGACACAGAGACCCTGTGTGACACAAGCAGAGCGGGAGGCCCTGGAGCAGGGTAGTGAGCCCGGGAAGGCACCTGGCGCAGCCACCGGCCCAGGACAGTGGCTCTTATGTTTCTACTGAGCATACCCGACTTGAGTTATAAAGGTTAAAACTGAAAACAAAAAAGCCATTTGCTAGTTCAGTCCACTCTTTGGCACAGGGCCGTCACCGAGGGGACAGGGATGGAGCACACGCTGTTTTGGAAGGAAATGAAGCTTCTGGGCCAAGTGGTTATTATAGCAATTGTAGCAAGAGTATTAAAAACATCTGTACACAGCACAGGGAGCGTGCAAACTGCCTGCCCAGCCCTGGCCCGAGGGACGTCCATGCAGAAAAAGCTGTCTGGAGTGGAATCAAGTTGGGAGCATTTGCTCAGCTTGACCAAGCCATGCCTGAAGCTCCCTGAGCACCAAGGTACAGGTATGGGACACAGGCCACTAAAGGGACTCCCAGCCCAGAGTAGCACTGCTCTTCGGCTGCTGCTAGGAGGCAGTGACAGCCCCCAGAAAACCATCTTGGGCCATGGAAGGCAAACACTTACCATGCTTTTGAAATGAGTGTCTCAGATGCAAGACTTTGTTGAACTTTTGATTTTATTAGAACTGTATTACGAGAACAGTCAAGAGGCCATGCGTCCTGACAGTGACAGGTCACGCTGTTGGTTCTGCAATGATCTTCCAGAGCTCCTGCAACAGAGGAAGGACAGGCTCCTGAGATGCACAGAGACCCTCAGTTCTGCAACGGGCAGCAGCTGGCCAAAGAGAGGACTCAGAGGTCCGGCAAACAGGGCTGCAGAGCTAGTGCAGGAGTGGTGAGATTCCCACAGCCTCTGAGGATCTGGACTGCCCTCTCTGTTTCACGGGATGGAGAGGCTGGGTGGAAGGCCTAGCCTTAGCTGATGGGGGTGTCAGGATATCACATAATTAAAAGGGTTCAGGGGAATGAGCGAGCCACCATCGTCTCTCCATTTTGGTGCGGGGGGTCTTGACCGCCATGTTCTGTGGCTGCTGAATTTTACAAGCGGCTGAGCTGCTTGGTCTATGAAGCCTCTCTAAATGCTGGCAGATGGAGAGCACACAAACACATGCCAGGTTCTTAGCGGCGACCTCGGGTCCTTGCTAGCTCAGTCTCTGTTCATGAGCCTATAGAGCTGCCTGATGCGACCATAAGCACAGGGGTGGCCCACGGGGTCGAGGCGAACTCCACACAGAAGCCACACAAACTCAGGTCTGTGTCTGCCAGGGAGGCAGCACAGCGGCACGGGAGCGACTGTGTTAGTCCTGCACCATTCCCTCCCCCTCAGAGCGGGCTTGGGTCTCTGTGAACCAGAGAAAGAGGTCAAAAAAAGACAAAAAGAACAAAAGAAGTTAACCGCCTCCTTAGACTCCTATGAATCCAGCTCGAGGTGATTTTGAGGGTAATTCTGACTTTTGGTATATTTCCTACGTGCAGGGTTCAAAAGCTCTAATAGGAAGTGATGCGGCTGCACAATGAAATCTGCACTCGGCCGCTTCCTGGCTGGATGATGCATCTTGTCTCGGCTGTTGCCATGAGCATTAAGGCAGTGGGCAAAAGGTGCTCTGCTTAGCGCGGCCTGGCGAGTGTCAGCTATCATTCTAGGATGACTACTCAGAGGCATGATACGTAGGGTCCCACCGCGGCAGGGCCTCAAGGGCGAGAGTGACGACACAAGGTTTCCAGTCTGTTTCCACAGTGCAGGTGACCGCGGGCACCACGCAGGAACCCTGCATTAGGTCCTGCAGCCCACTGCAGTTCCCCTGCACTGGCTTCCCGTTCCCTAGGAAACCTGCTGCTTCCCTGCTTCCTCTGACGTCTGCACTACCTGCAGGGGAAGCACGCAGTCGGTACTTAGGGTGCCTGCAGGCCCTCTGCATGTGGTGACTACTGACACTGGGTACAGACCCCCACCAGCTTTACCAAAGACGGTGCCAGGCCTGTGGTCTCTGCCTCCTGCAGGGCTGAGGGCATGGCCCGAGTGTGGTGAGGGGGGCCGCCTGGCCTACCACCTACTCCACCTGGAGCCAGCAGCTGCCTGCCACAGCAACCGAGAACCACACCAGGAGGACCTACCAGCTGCCGGATGCGCTCATAAATGAGCAGCTGCGGGAAGGAGGCCTCCACTGGCTCTACCACAAAGCGCAGCTTGCTGTCTGACAGCTTTTCCAGCGCGTGCAGAGAGGAGCGGAAGTGATCATAGGCTTCGCAAGTGACGTCCAGGTGTCTCAGTGTGAAGTTGAACCTGGGAACCAAACCAGCAGACACACAAACTGCTGTCACCACTGGCAAGTGCTGGTTTCCTCACCGCTTGCTACCTGTTCTTCAGTGATCTCGTCTCCTGTGGGTAGACTTTTAACTCAGGGCCTACTACATACTTGCTCACCACTTGAGCCAATTACTTCTTGAACCTTACAGCAGCGTGGGAGGTGCAAACGGTCACATCCATTTTATAGGTGTGGAGACAGAGGCTCAGAAAGCTGGTTATTCTCATGGAAAGATAAAGACAGTGTCTGCTTCTGCCTAGCTGCAAACTGGCAGGAGGGCAGATTGGCACAGGCCTCCGTGCGCTCTGCTCGCTTGCTCCACCGGCACAGACTCTGGGAAGAGTTGTCCCGGAGCTCTGTGTGCGATGAACGGTGGAGGGGTGGAGGTGCAGAGCACGCGAAGAGCACAGAAGACGGAGGGCACGGGTGGGAAGCTGGTGGGCGTGGAGATGATGGAGAAACGGGGAGAAGACACTTTGGAACTGAGTCTCCACACGCTGACCTTTATACCTTTCAACACCAGTATCTGCAAGACGCGTCAACTTGGGAGTCAAGCGCCCCGCCTTTCCCCTTTCCTTCCTACATCTTTTACTATGAGACAATCTGCACACGCAGAAACAGCAGGGACAGTAAATAAACCGCCATCGACCCATCACCCAGTGCCAGCCACTGCCGACCCCTGCCCCGGCACCCTGGCTCTCCCCAAACCCCTCCTCCTCCCAGCCAAATGTCAGGCACCACATTATTTCCCGTCCACACCCAAGTGTGCATAGAAGACACCCCTCGCCCAAGACAAACTTCACAGTAAGTTTTTAACAGCACGTATGTATCGTTCCATTCTTGCTAACTGGCCTAGTTTTGCTTGCGCTTCGTGGTCTGTAAAATAAGCATCCAAACGAGTCCCCTGCGTTCCTATGAACGAAGTCCTTAGCATGACTGGCACAAACCATGCTGCAGCGAGTATGTGAGAACATTTGGCTCTGAACAAAAATCTAGCCCGGAAGAGGGGGTGAAGCAGCAAAGCGACATTCAGCACACGATCTCATCAAGAGGCACACGCTTAGCGCACAGGACAGCGCTACTCCACGGGGACATACTCTGCCCCTATTTTTATTATTAGACATCTCAGTTTCATTTTTAGGTTTTGTTAAAGACATAGACACAGAAAAGTTTATTTTTTTTCCCACAGGAAAATGAAATGCAGATGATGCTAAAAGTAGCCACAAACGCCTCAGCCTCTAGAGGACCACAGTGTGCGCCAAAGCCAACGGTGACGGCCAAGCAGCAGTCAGGCCCTCCTCTGCCAGCCCCTCTCCGTGGCCCAGACGGGCCCCAGGGTCACGCAGCTTCATCTGTACGTGGGGTGGTTGTGCTGCTCGAGGCGCTGGCGTGCAGCAGGAGGTGGCAGGTGTGCGGGACCAGAGCGGCCTGCACACAGCAGGCACCTGGGGAATGGCACAGCTCACCTCCTCTCCACTGACAGCAGGGCGGTGCAGGCGTTCTTCAGCCTGCGGGTGAGCCGGTGCAGCGTGCGAAACAGAGCGTCCGTCAGGCTGTCATCATAAAACACTGCGGGAGAGAACCGGCCAGTGTCAGAGCGATCTGCTCGGAGCGCCCGCGGGACACCGAGGACAGGATCCCAGCACCACCAGCGGTGGCTGAGGCAGACTGTTCAGAAGGACGTTTCTAGGCAGCGGAGGACTCAGTGGAAGCGAGGGGACACCGAACTGCACCGGTACTGACAGAGGACGCACGTGACCATGGGGACGGCCTTACCTTCGGCTGCAAACAGCACGGTGGTGTGGTCATAAAGGTCAGAGATGTCCTCTTCTGACCAGCTGAAGGGGACCTCAGGATCTGCAGGAGAAGCGACGCTGGGGCCCAGTCCTTTCTCTGCTGGCCACCAGGCCTCCCCGAGAGTCTGGCCCAAAGAAGTTTCAGGGCAGGAGAAAGGGTTGGAGGCAGCTTGGCGCAGCAGGCACTGCCAGGCAGGCCTTTGTCCAGCACACTGGCTCCAGGTCCACAGCTGGCTGTGGGGACAGCCACAGGGTAAGGACGGCCCCACTTGCCAGTGAGGGGCAGGCAGATTCCAGCCTCATCCACTGCCCTGGCCAGCAGCCCTGTGAGAACATGATCTGTGTTGCTGTCCAAATCTCTCCTGCCCCTATTCACTTGATGTGCAACCCCAAAACATTTGCTACACCTCTCTGTGCTTATAGCAAGGGCCTAAGGGCTTGGGGTGTTGCTCAGCAGTGGAGCACTTACCCAGCATGCACCAGGCCCTAGGTTCCATCCTCAGCACCATTAAAAAAAAAAAAAGCCAAGCATGGTGGTGCATGCCTGTAACCCCAGCACTCAGGAGGCAGAGGCAGGAGGACTGCCCTGAGTTTAAGACCAGCCTGGGCTACAGTGAGTTCAAGGCCAGCCTGAACTAGGCAAGACTCTTTCTCAAAAAACATCAAAAAACAAAACCAACCAAAAATGAAACAAAAAAATGGGCCTAATACTACTTCCCTTGTAGGACTGCTGGGAAGGTGAAAGGTCCTAGGTGTGTGAAGTGCTTGGCAGGTGCTAGGTACTCAGGTCACGCCTCTGGCAGGGAGAAGGAGAGCAGCCTGTCTCTGAAGAGCAGGCATCCAGGTTGCCTGAAACAGTCCGCAGAAGGGATTTCGGAAACCTTCCCCTGCAAGGAACTTCTGGCCTCACCGTCTGCTGGGAAACGGTCTGTGCCCCCGATTGACAGACTTGTGTCACACCCTGACCCTGCCAAGTGCCAGCTGTGTGGCCTCCGGCAGGCACTGATGTGAGTGCTGCATCCACACCTAATTCACGGTGTTTCATGCCCACCACACAGTGATCTCGTGAGATCTGAACAGCAACGTGAATGTAAAGTGTGGGCACAAGCAGGTGCTTGGGGAGGCCAGCTGTCACTTACTGGCCAGTGGAGGGAACCCGCCAGAAGCTGGTGGGACACTGGTGGCAGCCAGGGCTCAGCTGCCTAATCAGGGCCACACAGCTGAGACTTGAGCACATGACAGAGAGGTGCTACACAGAGCGGATGCAAGGAGAGACACACCTGTGCACAGGTTGTCCTTTAGCCAGTCCAGCTCCCTGACCTTCACGATACCACCTGCAAGAACGAGAATGAGCAGAATTCTCAAACTCTTCATGTAATTAGGAAAATAAATCTTTACACTACATTCCAAGACCCACCTATCCACCCCTCCATCTCACCATTCACCCATCTGTCCCCTTCCCTCCGCTTCCCACCCATGTGTCCACCTTCCCTGTATGCTGCGGGTGCCAAGTGCCAGTGACTGTACCGGACACACGGAATATAAACATCCGAGTTCTGGTTTCTGTCTTTGGGGCCCAGCCACAGAAGGGGAGACTGGCAGGTTAACAGATGCTACAAGACTGCACGGTTGGGGCAGTGCTGAAGGGAGGTGCCTGCCACCTGCCTGAAGGAGAGACGACTCCACGTCAGGTCAGGGGCTGCTGGGGGGCTCTGCACAGCATGCGGCTGTGCCTCCCATCTTTACTCACGGCCTCCTGCACACTGCACATTCAAGGGTACTGCCCGAGCAGGGAGGGCGGACACAAATTAGCGAGCCATGTGCACAGATGCTAAAATGCAATGTCATTAGCATCTGGTGGAGACTGCGGGGGAGGGGACTTTGGGAAGGATGGTGGTGGGGGGAGCACTCCAGGTGGAGGAGCAGCAAGTGCAGACCCCAGGGAGGGGACCTCAGAGTAGGCCAAAGGTGAAGGAGGGGATTGGTGAGTGGAGTGGGAACCACAGGGGATGAAAGCCAGGACCTGAAGACAAGAGGTGAGCAAGGAACTGGGTCCCAGAGCCAAGAGCAACAGGAAACCTCTGAGAGGCCTGAGTCCTGCAGGGCTGATCCCCTGCCTGGAGGAGAAGGTCCACAGGGCAGTCCAGGCAGGAGGCCTCCACTGTCATCTGTCATATAAACCCATTCCCACAGCTGTGTGGGCACGGGGACTGGACAGTCAGGCAGGTAGAGTGAGGACATTGAGGGAGAGGCAGAGCCTGCAACACGAATCCTTGGCTCGCTGTCGGGAGAAGAGGCAGAGAAGGCAGGCAGCAGTCAGGCCAGGGAGGTGTGCAAAGCCAAGGAAGAGCTTGTACGCACTGCACGGGCACTGGTGCCTTGGCAGGTTTTCTGAGTGGAGCGAAGGCTTGCATCTCAGAAAGGCCACTCTTGATGCCGCATGGAAGACAATCTGGGCAGCGCAAGTGAGGAGCTAGGAAGACCGGCTGGGATGCGGGGGAGACACTGCCAACGTCTAGGCCAGAGGGAGCAGAATGGGGATGAGGTCATTGGGATGAGGTGACCCAAGAACAGATCCCTTGCGAAGCCATGTGAAGCCAAGACAACACCTGCTCCCTCCATTCACCCGGGGCAAAGGGAAGCAGGTGGAACCCCACCAGCAAATGTCACCATCTTGGTTGTTTCCCCTGCCTGTTAAACAGAAACCTCCCTTGCTGCTGGGCCTCACCTCCAGCGGCTGCCAGGTGGCTGTTGAGGGTAATGTTTCGCTGGCACATGGCCAGGAGGTCTGCGCCGACATCTGGAACGACAGAGGGCATGCCAGGATGTGCTGGCTGTTAGTACACTTCTGTCTCCAGGGTTTTGCCTGGAGAGCTGCTACCAATAGCAGGACTGCAGAGACCAGAGCTGTGCCTTCCTTGTGAGTTCTGCTGCCCAGGCTCTTTTCAGTGGCCACTTGCCCTACCCCCCAGAGATTTTCATCCTGGCGAGGACAGACCGCATTCCAGAAGGCACAGGAAAGAGAACCCAACATTTCTCATTTACATATATGAAAAATATATTGCACAGGCACCTTGGAAGCAGGTATCAGAATTCCCACTTCACAGGCTGAGCCCTTGAGGAAGTCCTACGACCAGCGGGAGAAAGAGCTATGATCTGAATCGAGGATCTCTGGCTCCAAATTTAGGCTCCTTCTCTGACACCACAGAGAAATGATGAGACAAAGGTGTCCAGGACGGTTAACTGCAACGCAGAGCAGGTCCCAACAGGCTGAGGTACTCTCTCTGTAGGCGATTTCCTGTCTGCTACTACCAGTATCTCTGGCTACTCAGGTGAGGTGGGATTTCTCGTTTCAACAGAACTGATTTGCAGTATGGGAAATTTTCCCTGGGAAAGACTGCCTTGCTAGAAGTTAACTTTTATATAGGAGAATGTACATGTGGAAGGTACAGAACATATTGTGAATGACATCTGGGTGGTCTATTATGGGTGCAGACTCCTTGCCCCAGTCAGTGCATACTCTCCTAGGACTAAACTGTGTGTGTGTTATGGTTTAGAGCTAGATGTCCCCTCAAGTCTCGTGTGCTCAGAGTTGGGGCTTTTGGAAGGTGACTGGGCCATGGTGCGTGATGCTCTGCAGCGGATTAATACACTGGGAGTTCCCAGCTGCATGTGGTCTTAGGAGGCAGGGCTTGGTTGGAAAAGGCGGGTCACTGGGGGAGCACCTTTGGAGGCTGTATCTCCTCCCCAGTCCTCCCTCCTCTCTCTGCTTCCTGCCTACCATGACGTGAGTCACTTCCTCTGCCATGTCCTCCTACCATGACATTTCTGCCTTGGAACCAGCATACCACAGCCTGAAACACCAACATCGTGATCCACATTAACCCTTTCTTCCTTCATGCCGTGGGTGTCAGTTATTTTGTCACAAACAACTGCAAGCCTGACTAATGCAGTACCCAGGGATCACAAAGAGCCCATGGGGACCTAGTACTTCTCCTGTACTGCCAGGTGAAGAGGATGCTGTACGATAGGTTCAAGAGTTTTGAAATCTTTTTTTCTTTTAATTGGGTGCTGGGATCCAACCAGGCCCACACATGCTAAGCATGCTTACCTGAATCATTCCCAGCCTCCCTGTTTTAAAATCTGTATGCTAGTTTTTGTTACAAGAAATCTTATGAGGGATTCTAATACATGCAGCAGGTGAGAGAAGCAGCTATGACTGAGCGGGTATGGGCCCTGGGGCCCTGAAAAAGCCCTATTTATCCCTTTGCCAGTGTAAGAGAGCTCACAGAACTCTGCCTGAAAAGCACCCACATAATCAAAAAACTAGTGTGAGCAACAAGGTCCAACCAAGGGTCTTGGGTCTCAGCAGCAGCTCAAGTAGGACCTGGGACCAGCCACTGACCCTTAGCCTCAGTCTGTTCATTCATACTAAGGGGTGGTGAAAGGCTCCTTGGCCGCTGTCCAGGGCCACTATAAAGTTACAACCTGGTGCTGATGCTGTGAGAGGGCTGTGCTAACTGTAACATACTATCTACATGTGACTTCTCTGTGCTGATAAATCTCTCTTGCAAGGATGAGATAAGCTGATTGCACCCTGCTGTTATATACCAGCACCCAGCAAAGCTCTGGGCCGTTCCATTAAGGCCTGACTCTGAGTCGCGCTCCTGGTAGTTTACATGAGACGGTTAAGGATGGTCGCATCACTTAGTGTGGCCTCTTGGCTAGTGGTCAGCCTGGCATGCATGACAGGTGTGCCCCAGCAACAGGATGCCAGCTTCCCCTTTTCTAGCTCAGAAGCAAGTCAGCATCATGAAAATGGTCACTAGGGAATAATGAAATACAGTCCATGCCAGGAGATACCTCTTTCTGCCTAGCAGATGTGGGAGATTTGAAATATCACAACGCCCATCTGAGGAAACTACCGCTCTCTCTCTCATAGACTGGCACGCCCTTTCAGTTCTGTTAACAGAACCTCACCCGTGTCACTTTGCTGGTTCTGATCACTGCACGTGGCTGGGTAAGATGCTCGGCAATGGAAGGGTTAAAAAAAAAAGGACCCAGGGGCTGGTGTGTAGCTCCTTGATAGAGTGCTAGCTTGACACACGCAAGGTCCTGGGTTTCATCCCCAGGGCCACCAAACAGAAAGGCACCCCCAGTTGCCTGGCTGCTAGGCCATATTCAAAATAATTTTTAACAACAAGGGAAAATGCTCTTGGGAAAAATGTCTTTCAACTTCTGTACCGGGTGTAGTTTACGCTTCGGGATGATGCACATACAAAGGGAAAAGACCATAATGCCTACAAGAACAGCTAAAGGGGGGTCTAAAACGCAGCACCCAGGGGCCAGCGGCTCAGTTCTGGTGTTCACTGCTGATCCCCCAGGCCTCGAGGTGTCCTGGGCACACAGTAGGTGCTCAGCAAATGGTACATTGGTGAATAAATCTGAGGGTTGTAAAAGTCCAACTAATTTTTATTTGCTGTTTTATCAACTTCTGAAAGAACAGACAAAATTTCCATAACCAGGAAGAAATGATAAACGTGCTCTTGAGGTCTTACAAAGGGGAACATCCCCAACAATTTCCTGGGATGTTTGCCCTTTCCTGGGGTGTGAGGACGGACAGGGTGTTGGGTGCTTCTGATACTCAGTGATCTGTGGCCACTATGAGGTATTGTGGATCACCACGCCATCATCAAGAAAGAAAAAAGTGGCAGGGGGCCGGGGATGCAGCTCAGTGGCATGAGCACCTGCCTGGCAAGTGCAAGGTCCTGAGTTCAATTCCCAGTGCCAAAAAATAAAATAAAATAAAATGAAATAAAATAAAAGTGTGGCAGGAACTCAGGGAGCAGGACGGCCAATCAGCAGCAGCCATGTCCAATGCCTGGAGCCCTTGCCTCATGTTTTAGTCAGAAGACCCCTCCCCTCAGCCTGGGCCATCCCCTCATTACCTGTACAATAAACGGTGCGTGCCATGGTGGCTGCCACGATGCTGGCAAACCCTGTGCCCGCCCCGAGCTCCAGCACAGTGCGTCCCTGGAAGAGATCCCGCCGGAACAGGATGTAGTCTGCCAGGAGCAGGGCACCCTGCCACACCTGGAGGGGAGGGGATAGAGGAGAGGTGACGGGAGGCTCTGCAGAGACCCTCTGGGGCCAAGGGCAGCAGACAGGACATACCCACCTGCTTGCCAACGTCCTCCAGGGGGGTGGCCATGGTGTGCTCTAGACAGGATGGAAACCAAGAGAAATGCCCACTGTGAAAATGGGGACAGAGAGAAAAGCGCCAATGTGGCAGGGCGGATTGTGAACTGGGGTGCTCTGGAGAGCGGCAGGAGCTGTAAGGCGGGCGTGGTGTTTGAACATCACCCGGAGCCCAGGGACCAAGGATCACTCTCCTCCAGATCCCTGGGTGACTATGCCCTAGGGGCCAGACTAGGGTCACGACAGGTCTGGCCCAGCCTAATTACACACACGTACCACACTGCACTTTATGTCCAGTAACTGCAATTTTACAATTCCAATATGCTCACATGCTAATAATAATCACGACTCATTCCCAAGTATTTTCTTGTACTTGGAGCCACACTAGAAGTGAACAAAGTAAGTTTGAATTTCTATTCTTTTTTTAAAAAGTTGATGAGTAAGTATTCCCAGGTGCAAAGTATGTTAGGATAAAATTCTGGTGTGCTGGGGGAAGGGAACAGAAAGACAAGATCAAGGACAAAAAAGGACAATGCAGGACATTTCTGCTGTGAAACTAGAACATGCTCCAGTATGTGAAATAAGACATGGCTATGAGGTTAAAACACAGAACAGCAGGCTCTTGCTTAAGTGCAACCACAGGTTTACAAAAACAGACAAGGAGGGATGGGAGGAGGGGCAAGAGGGACAGTGGTGATGCTGAGCCCGGCTCCCAGCACACCTGCACTTCCCTGGTCCTTTCTGGTTCCCACAAGCTCCCAGTGTGAGCCTCTCACTGTGCTGATGGGCCAGGTATTTAAACATGTGTGCTACTACTGCCAACAGCAGTCCAGGACACAAGCCAATCGCCCTGTCCCTAAGCCAGGTTATATGGGGTCCCACTGCTCTGAGGGCTTCTTTAGGACAAGTGTGACCAAGGGCTCCTGACTTTCATTCAGGCTTAGAATATGTGGCCCCAATAAAGTGACTCATGCCCTTCCTGTGTGCCAGCTTCCTGTGGGGCTTAATACAGTTTGGAAGTCACTTTGGGTAAACAACACTCCTTTCAGAAGGATATGAGGACAGCGTGACAACCTAACATGTAGCCACCTGCTTTGAAACTAGAGCAGAAATACACCCACAAACAACTACTGTATCGCTTCACTGAACAGGACAGGGTGGGCAGCCTGAGGGGGTCTGTGGCTCACACCCACGGTCTTTTCTCCTCGTTCTGGGCTCTCCCCATTTACATGCAGACAGGGAGACCCACGCCCCACCACAGTGCTCCAAAGAGAGCCTGGCTCAGCGAGCATGCACTAGGGTTAGACAGCTCTCCTTGGAAGAGCACGTGGACTCAGAGGTCAGGCCCCAAGGGAGAACCAGGTCTGGTCGCCCTCTAGGTGGGTGACGTCACCCACTTAACATCCTGGAGTCTGAGGTGCAATTCCCTCTTGCACCAAACGAAGAGACAACACCATCTCCTCATCCTTGGGTTGTAACAGGGCTCAGCCAGGTCACGCTTTACAGGGAGCCAGGGCTCAGCAGACCCTGGGAAACCACTGATCAAGTCGAAGGCCCAAACTCTTGGAGAGCCACCTGGAGCACACAGAGGGGAAAAGACTAGCTTGAGTTCAGGACCAGAGGAATAAAACTGAGCTAGATCAAAATATGTCAAGATGTTTTTCTGAAGCCAACTTGAAGCAAGAGGATTTTAAAATCAAGCCATTTGGGAGTGTGATTAAAAAAAAACAACTGACTTACTGGGCAGTAGTTATTAAATTATCATCAAATGCTAGGAGAGCTATATATTGGATCCCATTCCATAGGTGCAAAATCTGAGTCTCTGGGTGAGCAGCACCGTGTCCAGTGTCGCCTGGCTTGTGAGGGGTGGAGATGATGCCACAGTCTAGCTCTGCTGCATCTCCAAGCCCAGAGCCCAGCATCAAGTTTTGTGGTGATGGTGCAGGACATAATTATTAGAGGTCATCACTTAAGTGCAGGAACTTAGCTACCTGACGCTCTCCCTGGAGATGGCCAGGACCAACGGTGAGTCGAGAAAGAGCTGAGCTTGTGGGTATGAGACATGGTGAGTGCAGCAAAGGGCAGGGGGGCAGCTGCTACCCCTTCCCATGGGTCTCTGCCCTTAGCCTGTAGCGTGTAGCATGTGAAGTACATGAACACTGCAGACAGACAGTCATCATAGAGAAGTCACTTTGCGCTCCCCCTACAGTCAAATGAGCTGTTGTCAGCTCGAGAAACAGAACTTTTCGTTCTGCTCAAGCCAGTTCCAAATGCTCTGATCGCTTGCCATGGGGCAAGACCTGGGGTGTGGCATCAGACAGACCTGGGTGTGAATCCCAGACCCATAGCTGGCTACCCGGGTGACCGTGGGCAAGCGTCTCAACATCTGGGGGCCTCAGTCCTCTCTTCTGTGAAGAAGGAATACTCATCCCTCTGGCCACGAAGACCAGAAAAAACCCATGGAAAACATGGAGCAGTGGTGCAGTGTGGATTTTCACCCTCACCGGAACAGTCTAGAACAGACTGCCTGGTAGTGAGCAGAGCTCAGTAACTGATGAGTGGACAGATGTCAGAGTGGCTGGTCTGTCTGTCTGTGAACGTTACCACTGCCCTGCCCTGCACCCGCCAATGTGGCTGGGGCTGGGCCTTTCCACAGGCCCATAGGTCCCACCTGTAACCCTGGACCTCCATGAAGAGATTCAGATCAGAGCTGTCCCCGTGAGTGATGGGGTGGCAGGACGGGCCCCATGGGTTCCAATCTCCTTGCCTGGGTGCCTCTTGGAGGTCTATGGAGTCTACGGGAGACCACGTTGGTAAAACATCCAACGTGTGCTTTGTCAATGCTGGCCTCCCGTCCTCCTGACCATCTCTGGAGTTTGCAAAGCTCCAGGTCCCTAGATTTGAAACTCTGGAGTTGCCCAAGCACTGTTCTGCCCCTGTACCTGGGCAGCAGTGTCCTGCACCCAGCCTCTGAGTTCTGTCAAAATGCCTCATCTCCTCCCCTTCCTCTCCTGGCTCCTGCAGATTGCCATCGCCCACACTTGAGCTCTCAACCCTCCAGAGCTTTTTGTTGCCCACTCAGCCTAGCCAAGTCTTCCACACACACTATCCTGACCCACTTTCCCAGCACACTGAGTTAGAGCACAACAAGGATATGGAAGGCAGTAGCAGAGCCTTCCTGGAAGAGGAGACAGTTAAACCGGGACCTGCACAACAGTTGGAAATGTACGAAGAAAGCAAAGGCCTGTGGCAGGCATCCTGGGAAAGAGGCAAGCACAGCAGAGGCCCAGAAGTTAGGAGGCACATGGGAGGGTGTGAGTTGGAGCTGGAGCGGGAAGCAGAGGCCACGCCATGCACAGCCTTGTGAGCTGAATCACCTGGACTCTATTCTGAGGGCAACGGGGAACCATGGGAGACTCTTGAGCAAGAGTGACCTATATGTTTTGGAAAGTACTCTCTGCTGGAAGTGGCACACTTGCTCCTACTTTCACCAGGCAGGTTCTGATGCTTATGCTTATGATGTCCAGGCTTGGGCCTGACCAAGGACCTGACCCGCAGAGCATTCTTGCACTGACACATGGGCCGCCTGAGGTCAGGAGAGCCGGGCCTTCTTTTACCTATTTTGATGATACTCTGGGGGCAGCTCCCTGTTGCTTCATCTTCTAGGACATCCTCTTCTTCCTGGGTTAGAATCGTGGGGTGTACCTTGTCTCGTGGCGGCTTGGCAGGGTCAGTATCAGAGGAAGCCCGTGGTCTTCTCACCACATCCAAATCCCCATCCTCGTCCAGCTGAGCACCTGCCCCTTCCTGGTCAGTGCTGTCAGCCCTGGCCTGGAGGGAGCAACCCTCATGACTGTAACCAGGTCCGGGAGGGGACCCTGGGCCACAGGACCCGGCAGGAGGGGCCTCCTGTGTAGGCACATGTCTGTGATCACCACCCTCGGCCCCTGAGTCCATCCAAGAGTCTTGGCTCCATAGCAGCTTGAACTGGGACAGGAAAACTGAAAGGCAAGATAAGACACACAGTAACTCCACAAGGTCTTTTCTTTAGTTCCTATCCTTCTAAGAAAAATCTGATTTCCAACTGGGAAGAATTTTAAAAGCCAGGTGGGGAGATACCCTAACATCAGCAGAAAGGCTCACTTAATTTTACAGAGACCACTGGCTTGCACTGCTGCGGCCACTTGAGCAGTCAAAACCAGCAGTCAGTGCAGGCTCACGAGTATCTATGACACAGGTGCTAAAATGCAGGCGTCCATCTATCTATCTATCCGTGCATCCCGGCATGTAGCCCCCTCATCTTGCTTAATCCTGAGTCACCACGTACATGGTATATCTGCTCCTTTTCACAGACATAGAAACTGAGGCTGAGAGGTGGAAGGAGCTGACTAAGGCTGCACAGCCATGTGTACAGCTGAGGCAGGATGCAAATAGTCTGTCCCACCTTCCAGCTGACATCATGCTTACTATACTGTTCTGCCTCTTAAGGTCTGGATGATGGACAAGAAATATAGTGTTCCTCACCATCTGGTGGCCAGAAAGTCACTGGGACAGGTTTCAATGAGGATACATGTAACAGGGGCCAGGTGTAGTGAGGCACGCCTGTAACCCCAGCACTGTGGGAGGCTGAGGCAGGACAATTACAAGTGTGAGGCCAGCCTGGGCAACTTAGTGAGATCCAAATAGAAGGCAGAAAAGGAGCTGCGGATGTAGCTCTGGTCCTGGATTCAATCCCTAGTACAACAACCCCCCAAAAAACATGTGCTAGGAGAGCAGGCTAGAGGCAGGGGGATCAAGGACTTCAGAGCTGGCAGCCCTGCACTTGAGACCTACCATCTATGTCAGACTCTGGGCAAGTCATGTCTTTGCTCTGAGCCATATCACAAGAGCAAAAGTGTCCACCCCTGGGTTATCTAAGGATATGACGGTATTACACTGAAAGCATCTGGCTCAGAGTAGGCACCCACTCCTGTGCTTCCAATTCTCTCTTCCTTCTGCTCCTATCACCATGACTTTGTTTCAAAGTCAGGGTCTCACTAAGTTGCCCAGGCTGGCCTCAAACTTGTAATTCTCCTGCCTCAGCCTCCCAAGCAACTGGGATTATAGGTATGCATCATGGCCCTTCAGCCACCCTGACATGACGTGAGATAGAGCTCACTTTCTCCACTGGACTGTGAGCTCACTGAGGGTAGAGCTCAATTCATTATTTCCTGCATTCCTATCATCAGCTCTAGGCACACAGGAGGTGCTCAGGAAACACAAGATTGTGCTCAGTGAAGGAAGGGCACTGAAGCGGCATGAGGATAACAGGTAAGTAATCCAGTCTTCCTGATGGTTTACCCAGAAATTAAAATGGGATCGCTAGGGTGCGTAGGTACTGCACTCCCGCTAGGATCTTACCGGGCTGCCCCACGCCATTGAGCCGCACCATGAGGTGTCTGTGGTTTGGGGTGTAGAGGTGAACATCTGACAGCACGGTGTCGCTTCTGAAGGTGACCTCATCCATGGTGGAGTCCCACATTACTCCAGGGCCAGGAGCACCTGAGAGGCAAGGACAGGCCCTCAGGGTGGTAGGTCGCAAAGGGGAAAGGTGTAGGATACCCTACCAGGTAGCTGGCCACTCATCATCACCAAGGAGAAAGTGCTTCCCTTGCCAATGCCCTTTTAGTGTTTACTACAGAGAAAGTCTTGGGGCCTTGACAAGGGGAAAGAATTCAGCCAGAATTGGTACTTTGCACAGCATTCATTTTCATAGTAATATTCTATTTATAGTAATTGACCTGAGTTTCCATTTATTAATAGGGATAAAGTTTCCTTTCTCTTTTTTCCCTTCCAATTTTATTATGAAAATTTTCAAATAGGTAAAAAAGGGGAAAAGCATGAGTCACAGATCGACCACTTAGATTCAGTGAACATCATTTTGCTACGTGTTTTCACACTATTATCTATCTATCTATCTGCGGTTTTCTTCTTTGAACTCCCTGAGAGCGCACTGTACACATCATGACACGACCCCTAAATTCTTCTTTAGGGTCTGTTTCCTACCAACATTTTCCTGTATAACTGTAAAATCATCTGCAGACCTAAGACAAGGATTCCCTAATATCACCTAAAATTCAGGCCATAGTAAATCTTTTCCATAAGTCTCCCAAATGCCTTTCACTGCTATTTTTCTCAAACCAGAATCCAATCATGATTTATGCTTTGCATTTAGTTGTTATGGCCCCTTAGACTTTTTTTACTCTAGAAGCTGACATCATCTCCCACATATCATTTGTTGTTTTAGTTTTCCTATTTAAAAAGTGAGTGGATTTAAAGGAAAAGCAATTAAGGGACTCACTGGGTAGGTGATATATAGACAAGGAAAAATTATGAAGGTGACTGGGCAATAACTAGAATTTGGAAAACCATGCCTAGGCAAACTGGTCAAAAACAGCAAGGATTTCCCACCAACAAAACGTTCTACTTCATCAAAAGGCACCAAACAGCAGCAGCTGGGTGGGCTCTGAAGCCGGGCAGGTGAGATAAACCCTGGTGCCCTATTTGCTAGTTGTGTGATCTTGGGAAAAAACCACTTCACCTCTCTGGCCTGTTTCTTTAGGTATATTCTCACTCTGGTCAGGTGTGCGCTTACTGTGTCATGAGTTTCAGGGCCTTCATTTATTGAAATGGAAAATGAGACCACCATAACCCAGATGTTCTCATGATTCAAGAATATGCAGCTGGATCTCCTACATTTACCTGTTTGCTACAAAAGAGTACAAGTGGTCCTAACAAAGAATTTTGTGAAAAGAGGACCCCATATGAACCTGGTCTCCATGCTGGCTTCCCTACTCAATACTGTAAGTGAACCTGGCAAATCAGTGGAGGATTTCATTGTGAATGAAACTGTTATTTAGCTAAAGAAGACTGACAAAATCAGCCTGGGTCCAGTAGGAGGAAATCCACCATTCCATTACACTGAATTCCATTACACAGCCTAACTTCCTCCTTTCCTCTCTCCTTTTATTTACTTTCTGCTACTGGGGATTGAACCTAGGCCTTCAGATTGAACTACATCCCTATACCCAGCTCTTTTTAATTTTAATTTTGAGATAGGTTCTCAGTAGGTCCCTAAGTTGCCCAGAGTGGGCTCAAATTTTTGATTTTCTTTCCTCAGGCTCCTGGAGTATAGGGATTTGAGTTCTTCCAGGGCTGAGAGATGTCCTCGGGTAAAACAGAGAATTCCTGTCTATAGTTTTTTTGGGCGTAGGGATTTTTTTTTCTTTTCTGCCATTGTGCAAGTCAAACACAAACCACAGAACATCATTTGTTGCTATGGTACAATTTTGCTGGAAAAACTACATCCCAGAAAATGAACGAATATCCACTGCTCTTTCCAAATATTGACATTGTATCACACACCAAATTGACTTAAATCCTGTACAAAGAGAAAAAATTTCTAGTTCAATTTTCCCATTTAAAAATCCAAATACCCAGGCCTTCCAGGAAAGGAATCCAGGTGACGTGGATCCCCTTTAAGAGACTCTCTCCAGAATCAGATACCTAGGAGTAAAGAGACCCTCTTGTCACTATTTCAGGTCCTGTGTGAGTAGGAAACGAGACAGTGATCACTTTCAGGGCTCAAAACATAGTAAACACTCAATAAATAAAAACAGTAAGTACTATCATTACAGCAGTATAATTAAGGAGTGTGCTGGGAAGATGGGACAAGGCAGTGGCCAGTTTCTCTACTTGGGGACAATGACTCAGAGTCTCTGTCTGGGAACGCCGGGGCTGGATGGGCGCTGGGGCCCTTCTCCTTACTGGGCAGAGGTTTAAAAAAAAAAAAAAAAAAAAAAAAAAAAAAGAAAAGAAAGAAATAAAAGCAGACCCATAATAAGATGAGAAGCACCGCTCCCTCCCTCGCTGCAGTCTCATTCTTAAGGTTGAGCTGACAGGTATTCTTGGCTCTTTTAAGACTGTGGGGTTTGACTCACTCCTCTACAGGTCCCCGCTATCCCAAAACGCAGTTTGCTGGGGCTGGAGGGTTCAAACAGCTCCCCTCCTTCCTGTCTTTCTGCCAGGTGCCACCCACTCACTGAGCAGTGAGGAACTGTGCGATTCCACGGTGCTCCATGGCCAGATGCTGGGTAATGGGAGAGCACTGTGAAGATTAGGAAGCTGGGGGAAACAGGGCCCAGGATGTAGGCAAAAAGCCGGCCCGGCCCGGGGGCAGGCAGAGTCAGTTTTAGGGACCCCTCCTCCACAGCTGCTCCTGCCTTGCAGCCTCCCTGAACCCCTTCCTTGTGGGATAAGCACTACTTCCTCAAGACGCAGTCAAGGCTTAATCCAACACCAGGCAGGAGGCTGCCTGGATCTCGGACAGGAACCGAGACGAGCACACGGAATCCTTTCCAGACACCCTCGTGTAGAAGGAGAAACTGAGGCTCACATGGGATCGGGATTTAGGCTTCAGGTTTGTGGCAGCCCAGATCGCAAAGCCAGGTTCGGTGCTAGAAGCCTCCCTGTACTTTATCGCATCCCGCCGTTTCTCCCAGGGGCTTACCCGCCGCGACCCCCAGCCTGGAGTACCCTAGACTCCAGCCGCCGACTCAAGCTGCCGCCATGA